GAGAAGGGAAATTACAGAACCTTGGGGAGCACCAGCATTCATAGGTATGGAACGAGACATCGTCCCATCCACTCGAACGGAGATGCTGCGGTTCTTGTGATAGCTTACTGTCCAAGACACAAATCCCGAAGTAAAGCTAAACTTGGGTAGTTTAACCAGCAGACCCGTGTGCCAGACACGATCGAAAGCCTTCGATGTATCCAATAATATCATGGTGGTTTCTCTGGTTGTTGAGTGCTGCTGACCATGTATGCGAAATAAGCACCAGAAGGTCACCGGTAGATCGATGGGATCGGAAACCGTAATGACGGTCGCCTTTTGTTCTGATCCAGGTGGCGGCGGAGTTGATCAGCAACAGCTGATTCCATAGTCTTCGAAATGACTGATGTGAGAGAGATGAGGCGGCGGTTGTTTTACTCTGAGTGGTCGCCGCGTTTGGGGATGGAAAATATCTGTAATGTTTTCCATGAAACCGGGAATATCTGGGAACCGAGGAATAGAGAGCATAAGCGGCGTATGGGAGCCAGTTCTCGTGCGCACATTTTGAGAATGATGGGAGGAATCCTGTCGGGTCCAGGTAGCTTGTGTAGGCCAGTGATAAGAGTATCTAACGTTACTGGTGTAAATGGGCGGTGTGGAAAGATGGTTCGCCGTAGGGTGATTCCAGTAGGGTAGAACTGAAATCGAAATGAGAGGCAGACACATCGGCTCTTACAAGCGGGTCGGACACTAAGTCACCAGATGGTTTACCAATGGGTGGGAAATTAGTGGACCGGAAATTACGGAAGACAGCCTTAGCAAGTGACAAGAACGTATGATTTCCAACAGGAGCTGTTGCTAACTGTGCTGCTTGGCGCTCGACAAATCGCTGTCTCTCCTCTTCTTTATGANGGTTGTACAGTTGTTGCGTGCTAACAAGGAACCATCGGCGTTATCTGGGGGAAGATGAACGACACCAGGAGTGGAACGCTGATTTCTTTTACAAACGGCGCGACAACAGGCGTGGTTAAAACATTCTGGAGAATGTGGCTTGCCGGGTTTAGTGAAAAGAGGTAGTGGTGGCGCAGTGGTTTAGTCGCTGTCTGTAGCGTGCTTTGGACCCTGTGGTCCGAGTTTCGCGCCCCGCCACCGCCACACAACTTTGGCGGTAGGCGTCTTTGCTGTCGCCCCGTTCTATACCACGCTGACCTAGCGGGGCCTAATGTGGTTCGCCACTATAGGCTCCGGGGTTACCACCGCCGGTTACCATCACTGAATAGTATGTCTTCGTGACTATGGGGTCCGTCCCGACTGCTGTTTATCATACACTGGTGTAATAACAAACTAGGTGCATGCTTTGTTCAAGATCGTTGGATAATTTCGAAGCCGATATGAAAACATGGGAGGAAAAACAACTTTTATTCCATAGAAGGAAGCCATAAAGTTACAAACGCTNACAAACGCTGCACCAATCAGTGGAACCGTATCACCAGAATGTACAACTAGAATTGAGAGGAAGAGTAGAGCACATAATTTGGGTAGAGAGCGAAATAAGACAGTGGTCCGATGAGCTCAACGCAGGAATTGCTGTAACATTCGGAGGTATTTTTGGGTTGAATGTGAGGACGAGATCGAGGGTGTTAGCGTGTTCGCCAGCACAGTCGGGAAATCGATCAGTTGTCGGAGGTTGTTTAATAGGGCAGATGATTCTGCTTTACATTCGAGTGACGATGCCCATGGAGAGTGTAGCAGGCAATTCATGTTATAGATATTAAAATCACCCAAAATAGTGAACTGAGTGTTGGGGTCTGCTTCAACAATGCTCTCTATGTTTGCGGATAAAACATCAAAGAGTGAAGAGTCACTACTGTTTGAGGAACGGTACCAAGTGCGGAGATGGTGATTGAAAGAAGGGAACCCCAGTTTCAGCCAGATGGTCTGGAACTCGCGGTTGACAAGATTTATTTGAGAGAGCGGGGTGGAAGCGATCGAATGATGGATGAAAAGAAACATCAGCTTTGGGGATGAACGAAGTGTGAGGCGAATAGTTTGGAAACTGATGATGGGTGGTGTCTGTAAATGCAGAAAGTTTTATTTCGTATAAGAAGAGAGCAAGAGGAGAAGTGAACTGGAAAAAATTGATGTACGGAATCAATATTTTGGTTCAAGCCTTGAAGGTTAGTTTGTGCAATTGTCGAGTGAGAGTGCGCTTGAGAAGTGATCCTGTTAGTTGTAGTGTTCATAGTGAGGTGAAACGTAGACAGCAACTTAGCCCTGGATCTCGGAGTGGCGAACCATCTNCCATCTAAGGTCCCAATGGCTAGACGGTGGTACTGATCCGGACGACGGTAAAACCGTCTATCACTACCAACTCGAACCATATACAGTCACCATTGAAGAAAATATGTAATTTAGAAAATTTGGTGACTTGATAAGAAATTGTTTTACGTCGGGAATTATGTTTTGCAAGAAACCAAACAATATCCTGATGCCTGTGATTTTTTTATTGTACTCGAACATTACATTATCCGCTTGACTGACAGTACCTATCAGAGAAGTTCGTGTTTAAAGCTTCAAGGAGGAACTCCAGAAATAATTGAATTCGTTGAAAGGTTCCTCATTTAGTTTTATAACAACCTGAACCCACAATTATCAAAAGCAGTTTCTCCAGCAGGTGAACAGAAAGTTACAAACGCTGCTCCAGCCGATGCATTCCTTCACCGTTTGAACGCCAAGAGGCATGGAAATGGAAGAACATTTAGCCGACGATACGGTATCATAGGACGTTATTTGTTCTCAAATCAAATATTCCTTTTACAGAGTTACCGAAACGATCATTCCTGTTGGGGGCAGCACCGGGTTATTTAGATTTGGGGAAACTATATTCCACAGGGCTCATAGTCCGTCAAACGTTTGGCTACATCATCTAAACCAGCTGAAACCAAAGCACTGCATACGAATGCAAAGTCAGCATCCGTAATCGCTTCCAAGAAGATTATTGGAAATTGTTGATCTGTCCGTTGCGCGAAGAATACGGTACAGCATGTGAAATACCAAAGTTACACAAAGGTCACTCCGACCAAGTTGTTTGACAGACTTACACAAAAGCACCGTAGTCGAAAATCGTCCCGAGTATGTTAACGTAAGAAGAGTTGTCGAGCAGGCCTAATTTTCCCCAGAAAATTCCTGTGATCTCGATGGTAAATGAATTTGGAGGTTAATCAGTACCACTGAGAGTTGCCAGTTCATTTCTTCATTTTTCCTAGTTGGTGGAGAACAGGATGGCGGACATTAAGGGCTGTAAATTGATGGGTCCATTTACGCTTCTTATTTTTATATTTTCCGGTGCTCTGAATAAACGTTCACGTCTTTGCACGTGTCTCACTAATGTTCCTAAACGGAAACCTCGGAGATAATCATTGGACGGCTATTCCATCCTCAATGAAACTCACCAACAGTGCATATTATTGTCAAGTCCCTACCGGGACTCAAACGAGATAATTGCGAAAAATGTTTGGCTAGCACTAGGGCCACAAAAATAGATCAAATGAGGAAGCCAGAAAATGTTCTTCCTTTTCGGTTGGAACCATTCCATCGCACATATAAATTGCAGTCGCAAGCGCATGAGTTCACGAACTTTTCAGAAAGTGACACTATCTCTTCCGGAATACTTACTTTGCTTGAGTGTTCGAATCACGCTACCACCGCCTAACTTTCCCATGATGTGCTGTATGGCAACCGTTTTATTAATCACCACCCCCTTCCTGAAAACTGGTGCCAATAACTACTCAAAAAATGAAGTAAATAGAAAAGACTGTTGGTGAATAGGCTTTTAGGTTACTTCTGACTCCGGTTACACATTCATGGCTATTACTGGTCAGATTAGCGTACTGTTACATTTTATTTCAATGCATTTTCTCTAGTGGTACTGATCTACGTCTGCGGTAGTACCTGCGCAGGGAGTTGGAGTTTTTAAAAATTTATTTTAAACGCTACCGTGATAAACAATAAGGCGAACAAAATGCAAAATCACAAGAACCTAACGTTCTGGTCTCCCTAAATTATACATAGCGAACTGCTTGTGACCGCTATAGAATAAAAGTGATATCGACAGCAAGGCTGACTATCACTAAAAGGTATCAGTATAGATCTTCGGACGTCTAATCGAAAACGTGCCATCGACAAAGAAATAAACCGCTCGATGACTACCATCGTCCATAAAGGCTGCCTCTCAGGTGTTTCCTTTCTGATCATCAAAAAGCGTGACCAAACCACTGAACGCAGCTGCATCGGAACCAACATTGTAACTTCTCTGCTCTGGGCACCTTTGTCGAGTCATACTATTTGAGATTTGGTCCAGTCAGTGTACTTAAAATATCTCCAATGCGCGGTATTCCCTGGTCTCAATGACGATTTATCGTAAATCGCATTATTGACTCCCTTTCGTTCGGGGTTGTTGGACTTCACCAAATTGAAAAATAAATGGGTAATTTTTTATTGGCCGCATATTTTCTGAATCGTTTTACTATGGGTGTAAGTAAAATTTCCTCTCTCCAGAAAACCTATTAAATGAAGCTGCCGTGTCCAAACTTTTTATTGAGTGAATTCTGATTAATGAATGTGATCAAACAAGAAACGCATGAACCCGAGTTTGATTGAATTTCTAACGACTGTTTCATTTTTTCCGTTCCTAGGCAAGCAGCACTCCACCTCAAATCAAAATCTCGTTGAAAGAATTCGGTAAGCAAACTAGAGCGTTAAATGTCCACGCAGAATTCAATCAGCACGGGAGCTGCGTCATGCGGTTGGTGTGGGCGATTCAGAAACCGTGCATAACACGCTCCGAAGTACCAAATACCGTTTGATTGATCTCATCACGGAACCACCTTTGATTTGTTTGGCTGCTTCAAAAGGTAATATGGTTGAACACAGATTTTTATCCCGTTCCTTCCAAAGTTTTATTCTCAAAGTTTGTTTCTGTGATTGATCTAGAAACCAAAAACATAAATTTTTGGATTTTCACACTCCAGTGTTCTAGTCGTGTAATTAGGTTTCATTAGGTGTTTCCGGTAGTTTTCCAGGAACAAACTTTCTTTTATTTACTGCCCTATAATAAATATGCTATGATACCATTTTTGGGAATGGAGAGGCGGACAACCAAAGGAATGTCATAGTACATAGATTATGGCGGGATTGGAACACGTCTCCAGGGTGACTCTAATTGGATAACCACGATCACCTACGGTCATGTTACTGTATCTAGAACAAAAATCTTGGGTAAATTTCTCTTGCGTGTGCACAAGTCGACTTCCTACACGAGGTCATGAAGAATCTTGGGAGCATCCACAGTAACGCCAAGCATTTTAACCCGAGGGTGCGCCTTCAGTCATTGCGTAAACAAATGCATTTAGGGGAGCAAGATAATAGTTCTGGCCTTTCTTGATGATGTTTTCTGCGGACACGAGCGACTTTGTGTCACAAGGAGATCGGTTGGGGCACGAAAATGCACATCGTTTTGGGGCGCCGTCGCTGTGACTGATTATTTAGTAGAATAGTGTCCACCTATTCATAGTGAATCACTGTAGTGTTTTTCTCCTATCCGCGACCTAGAGCGGTACCCGATAGTGTACAGCTCCGTTGACTGCAGCTTGTTGTGCACGTAATTGTAAGCAGACACAGTAAACTAGTAACTCCGTTTATTGGTATGAACAATAATCACAAAATACATATAGATACATCCGTAGACACGTAGGCAAGCAAAACAGGCTGACATGCCGAATGCCAGCCAGCATCGAGTGCAAGCGTTGCACGCCATTGGGGTATGGTCAAGCAGGTATAAAATCGATCTGTACGGATAGTTCCATACTGAAATCTGATTCAATGAAGCGAATCGATCTCATGGTAGAGCAAGTTTGCGTGATATATACATGCATGCCCGGAGTCAGCAGGCGATATCGACCATTTAATCAATCAATGGTAGATAATGGCATAGTCTAACGCATCCGGATGAGAATACAAATGTACGCTTTGCATCGTGCGTGTGTGTTAGTTGTCATATTTCAGGCATAATCTACACTCACAAGTGTTGCGTTCCCAATTATACTCTACCGCTTATTCCTTACAGGCCATGCTGTAGGTTGCGGTCCAATCTATTGCTTCATTTTTCTCAAATTTTCCGAACTGTTTCTAGACGTGTGTACCACAGTGTAATTTTCTACGGGGACAAGTAGTTTTATGACAGTATTTCACTTTCAGATATATCAATATTGTTTGGCATCGATAACCTAACCTGTTTGTTCATTTACTTTGATTTTTTTTTTGTTCAGGCTTTGCAGATATTGTCGGTCTGTTAATTCGTCATGGTGCAGATGTCAATGCATCCTCTGCAGATGATTCTACTCCATTGATTTGTGCTGCGGATAATGTGAGTGTATTGCATGTGTCTTCCTCCAAACCACTTTCTTTCATCAATTCAGGTCGTGAATCTCTAACCTTCTATGTATGATGTTATATCCAACACATCACCGATTACGCGAAAATTAACAGAAGTGCTTCAACTTATACACGAAGTTTGGCGCCATTGACACCGGATTTGAGCCGTTTCTGCCGGTGTCTCCATTTCTAAACATTTGGTCTCCAGCCTAGAAACTGAGTGCATCCTACATTGGTCAGTTTTGATGTTTCTATTCACACCCTTCGAACCGTTTCCAACTTGTGCAAACATAGTACAATGGTGCAGTCGTTAGACCGGCATGGATAGAGCGTATGCAATCCGTCAACGCACTCAAAGCGAGTTATTGACATTCTGAAGTTGATGGGAGCTGTCGGAGATCAAGATTTTTCGCCGAATCTCCTCGTTTTTATTTCAATTTCGTCGTGTGAAGAGCAGATGAGACCTAAACTTGGAATTTAGGAAGCACTAGACAGCTGTTTCCACGCTAGTGATTCGCTATTGTCATTGTTTCTAATTATACAACGAAGGTAACGGTGGTTAAAGATAAGTAATCTATTTTCGCCATTGACACGAATGAGCCGACTCTCAGAGTCACTGAATAAGACAGCGCTGCGGTAGTATTGTAAACTCAGCCTCAGAGAAAGAATAAATTCAAGTGTACATCAGAAGCGCTGCATGGGAACGAGTACTAATCAGGATTTGTCGATGTCTTGATATCTCTCCCGTTAGTCCTTTTGAACTAAAGTAAATACCGAAGTAGGGAAAGTGAGCGCAATTTGTAGCCGGCTATCTAGAACTATAAGCGTGAGTGTAGCCGCTTGTTAGTCTTAGAGTAGCAGGACTTTGCTTTTCCACGGAAATATATTTTTAGCCCCCCCCCCCTCTCCCCATAGGATATTTTGAAAGGAGCAACAAATAGAGACCTTGAAGCTACCTGATTTCTCTGAGTAGACTGATTGAACAAGGTTTATTTTCTTCTCAGGCACACCCTTTTCCAGTGGTCCAATCCCTATTCGCCGAGTCAAACGCAATACGTATATCTAAACGGAAGAATGGCTGCTCTTTTAAGCATTTAGCGGAGCTGGATTGTCCGTCAAACCAAATACGTCCGTCATGTAACCCATTTTGTTGGTGGCTGCGGTGACCGTATATACAGGTGAGTCTGCGGCCAGTTAATTGCACGAGGAATTGAGGTGCGACGGCCCTCAGATAAATGATCCTTCCTAGAAAAGGGTATTTCGTCTGCTGGGTTAGGTGAATCTAAATAGAACAAGGAGAATCAAGTCCAGTCCAAAACAACTGACTGCTCCCTGGTCGCAGATAGGTAGTCGGTCACCAACCTGCTGGTCAACTTGGAATAAGTTTAGCCCCTAAACAACGGTCGTGGGTGATCAGTGACAGTACGTGATCGCACTGAAGTTTTTCCTGGTCATCGTTACAGAATACAAAACGCCAAGTAAGTTTGTTTATTGCATTTCTACGTGGAAAGCAGGTATAAGTGAGGTAATTAAGGAGTCTGATGGCACCTTCAAAGTGTAAAATGTTGCTACAGGATTGGGATGGTCTAGCTCCCAACCTAACCCTGACTATTAAGTAGTAGAAGAAAATAAATTTTGCTATCTGGGCGGCCGTATCTTACCTGGTGGATACGTCACAGATGAAGTCTCGGTGCGCATACAAATGGCTCTGTTTGCATTTGGTTAATGATTGTAAAACTGAAACTGATACGTGGCGATCGTTCCTTTCGTGCTTTATCTGTTCAGCGTGGTTTTTCAATTGGCGAGTGAACCTAATATTTGATCGACCAATGGTCTGGTGTAACCCAAATGCCTTGACTTGCGCAAAGGTGAGGGATACCACCTCAAACATAAAGGCTGAACAATGTACCTCACCTCCTGCGCACAAAAGTGAGTGGTTAAGAACTGAAATGCTTGACCTTTCTATGTGGAATATTTGAATCGTTTGCAGTGGCAAATCGGCCGAATTCTCGGACCTTGGAATGCTGGTTGGTTTAGATTGATGGTTTCTCTAAAACCTGATTCATTAATAAACTAGTTCTGTTGTAAGTGCTACGGCGTTAGTAGCGTACTGGCTTGTGCCCCTCGTTCACTTATTATTGAATTTGTATCTGAATGCGAAACACCTTTTCCTTCGTGTTTTTCTTGATTTCATAAAAATAGATCCACGTCCTCTTGCACCAAGCTCAGGTAATGCGTCTCGTGCTCCGTATTCGTTTTTTAGGGTCATCTGAACGTTCTGGCCTTGTTGCTAAGTGCTGGTGCGCACATGAACCTGATAAATCGTAATGGTGAAACAGCTCTTGCTCGGGTAAGTTCGTCCGTGGCTGTCATTTGAAGCAAGCATTCTTTTACTCTTTTCTTGTTCCAATCGCTCGTTATTCCTTCTCTCTCTCCTTCCCCGCCCCGCCCCGCCCCCCCCTGCGTCCCACGATCTTTCTCGCTTAGTCCACACGTCGTGGTTGGGTGAATTGTGCTCATCTGCTGCTCACATGTGGTGCGAATCCGCATCCAATGCCAACGGACGGCCATTCGATGGTCGTATCCCCGTTGCACTTGGCTCGTCAAATGTATCAGCCCGCAATTGAACAGGACATTATGACCAGAGCCACAAGGCAAGTTTCTCACATGGGGGCCCCGAATCTGCCTGTGCTTCTCTTCACGAGTCCTCTCCGCTGTTATGTACTGTCTATATTGAAGCCAAAAATGTGGGTCACGATGTGAAAGGTCGATCACAAGATCCATAAGGTCGTTTGAGTAGCATTCCAGCGTGAACATTTCGCCTGACTCGGCTTTCAAATATTTACAAATTGTCTGTAACAAGGTATGTTGCGAAATATTGTAATATTATTGAACTGTCTTTGAAAATTTCGAGGAGAAACCATTTGCATGGAGGACTAAGCCACATTGTTGTTTTTAGGTTTACAGTCTAGGATACTAAGCTTGTCGCCAAACGCTCGAATAGTCTAGTCATATTTCAAGGATAACAGCTTCAATACTAATGTCTCTTCAATCTTTTCCCCCATGTGATGCAGGGTAGTTGTTCTTCTATGAGTCTCAATTCTTGGAGTTTCATGTCTTGAAAGTTGTTTTCAACGAATTTTGTGATAAGTTCGACAATCAGAAGCGCACGGCTATTTCGGCCTCGTTGATACTCGTCAGCATTGCGTACCGTATTTCGGGTTGGAAGCTAAAACTCCTGTAAATCTACACGTTGCGATCAGATCCGCCATCGTGGTGCGCACTACTGCTGAGTCCCAACTGGGACTAAACAATTGTTCAGTACTCGTTTTCAACCTTCATACCAATTGTTTGTGATATTCGCGTATTTATTTTTCCTGTGTTTGTATGTAATCAAAGTATTGTATTGTCCCATGTCCGATATGTGCTTTCTAGTTTTTTGTGTGAAGCTACCTCATTGAAAAGTGTCCTTGAATTGAACCAGTTTCAGTTCATACAACTGTTAGCCAAACACGCGCGACGGCTTTGATCACTTGTTTTACTTATTTCATCACTGTCTTGAAATTTTTCCTTATCAGTATGGAAAATCAGATGCTGGAAGTTGTACGTGCAACCCTTCCGAAACATGCTTGCCTCATCGAGCCGGGTCATCTAGTCGATGCGAGGACTTCCAGTTTTTTTCCACTACAACTAGTCTCGGATGAAGAACTTCATCGGTTCGTACTTTACTTCAAAACACCGCCTGGTTTCGATCGGATGGACGGAGACGGAACCGTTAGAAGGGATAGTCGAGCCCCGTCGGATGAATTGATCTTGGTTTATCTAGTTCGTGTTTACCTTTCCGTAAGTTTTAATTTCCCTGTGCTCACGCAAAACCAACACTTTATTGTCCAAGTGAAAATAGGCTCTAAGTATGATTCGAGTTTCGTTTTCCTGTTATCTCGTGCCATGTAAAAAACAAGATCATTGTTGAATGACACCATTCAGTGACTCACAACAGGCAGCACTTTGGTGACCTGTAAATTTCTGCTAATCGTTTCTATGTGTATTCATACTCTTTAGGATGGACAACCCACCTGTTGGATCACAGGCCCCGGCTTCTCGGCTGTTTCGCTCAGTTTTAACGGTACAAGACGCAGTACTACGCGACTTCCGATTGCGTCTGACTATCCGGGACTGCACGTGTTCTCTGTGTCGACAGCCATTAAATCGGGTGGCTTAAATACATTGTGTTTGGAAATGCCCCAACCAAAACAGACAGATGCTCAGATATTAAACTCAGTTCCGGTGAGTGAGTATTTATTACCTCCCGATTGGTATTTTGTTTCTTTCTCGTCACGCGCTACCAGATTTCGGTTGACAAAGTAATCATATTTTTAAATGTTGTACTGCGTAAATTGAATTGTAAATCCCGGATTGCTTTTCATTTTGAGTTTATGAAATGCCCTTTATTGGTTTTATTTGCTTTTACATGAATTCCAGACCCGTACATGCTCTTTAATGTCGATTGTCGGAGCATATAGAATACGGATCGATGTCACATCGCTCGTTCAAGCGTCAGCCGGTCTCGCTCTGAGCAGTTCCAGCAAGGCAACTATTTACATACCTCGATCGATGAATTGATTGGACTGTGTACCTCGAATCCNCCCCCCCCCCTCACCCCCTGTTTCCATTTCTAGAATGTACATAGACCCTGTGGATTGTTTTTATACACTCTACAAGATTATCAGTTTGTGTTGCTACTTGTACAATAACACATTATACATAACTGAAATATCTGCTTAGTGTGTCACTAAGTAGATTGTCGCGGTGCGTGCTATTTGCTGAGACAAGTGTTGGTCAAACTGAAAACCCTGACCTCGGGACTTACTCGCATAAGCCGCGTTGGGTTCCTGGGTTAGGGATCAACGTAATCAGCGGTTAGAGGCACTGAGTGTCGCTCGTGTGTCTACACAGTGCAACTTCAACATTCGTGAATTCTCTATTTTCACTCTTAGACTGATTTGAAGATTCCAGTCTTCACCTTATTTCTTTATCCAAATAGGAAGTAGTGAGAGACAACAGAAAACTGGTGCACGAAAATGCATGGCTTATGATTAGAAAAGCTCTACTGAACTGTGTATATTGCTCAGCAGTAACTACATGGAAATAACTTGCTCTGGTGTCATCTCTAACAATGCTGCCCAGGCTGACAGTATGTGGAAGGAATGCGATTTGACATGGAAAACGTAGCATAAACTATTTCTGTGGGAGTTATTCCGTTGACATGCTCTTGAGTAAATCTGCTTGCTGATTATCTCGATTAATCTGCGTAAATTTTGCGGGTTGGATAGGGCTAACTTAACGATAAACGAAGTTGATCGGTGTAAAAATCGTGAAACCAAACGTGCTTTCCCGGTTTTGCACTACGCACTAGTTAAGTGTGTGTGCGTATGTGGAAGTAAACTGCAATGCTTAAATGCGTAAATATGCAACGCCTCAAAACGAAAAACCACGAACTCGGAGAACGTCGTCAGTTCATGATCACCAATTCAATTTATACAAAGTCTAACCGACTGCATTAACTCGAAGTGCGGTAGGACAGGTGTCATGAGGATTGAGACAACCAAGAGAACGGGTACATCACGGAAAAGAGGAATGGAAGTTCTGACCGGTAGGCGCATTCAGGTCAACGTGTTTGCCAATCTCGAGGTGGGGGGGGGGCAAGATGGATTCAATATCACTCATTTCATGGATGGCCCAGAAACGGGGCGGGATTTGATGATCTTCTGACCCTTTTGGTAGACGCACATCAGTATGTTGTGAGCAGTGACCGGGCACATGATGCTTTCGAGGATGGCTTGGTGGGGAAAGTTGAAAAAATGTGGAAAAAACGTTAGTAGAGAAGGCACACGGAACACTTTTTACATGCGAAGATTCGGTAAAAAGATTTATTTAGATGAGAAGAGCTTTCCAAAAATGTCTCTCGATTTTTTTCACGAAATTAGCTCGAGGAGTAGCACCACGTTCGTTTTCCTCTGCAGTGTGCGGTGTAACTTCCACAGAAAAATACAGACATTGCTGTAGTAAGGTGCTATATCAAGCCCATCACGACGAGACTGCACCTCGACGTACTGTGTTGGCTTGCGCGCCTCAGTGACCCTGCGAGCTACACAGGATGGCTTCTCACAGCCGGAGATCCAATCATGCCTGAAACGTCAACGGGTAGAGGCCAGACGAAGACCAGCTGCTTGGGCACCCCCTGGCTTCCTTCCTCTACCCGCCCCCGGAGAGGTCACTCCAGCAAATAAACACGGTGAGGGGCAGTTTACCGATCAAAGAAACCCCGCTAGATGGACGTAGGAGCGGGGTACCTGGGGCTTCCTCTCGACGATGGGAGAAGTCTTCGCACTTCATTGGACAGCTACCGCCCGCCCAAGCTGGGCAGCCCCCAGCCAATAAGGTGCTGTCCCGTCCACGTTCCGCTTGTCTCATTGGGTGCATGAGGCTAAGGGCTGATCCCGAAAAGCGGACCGATAATCAACGCACCAGCGAACAACACAATCAACCGAAATTCAAA